TTCACGACAAAGCATATGAATTCTAATATCAGTAAGATTAACTATTCAGACAAAAGACCTTTTGCAGTAAGGTGCAAAGAATTTCGAAGACTCGCTTTTGAATTAATTAGTAACAAAACAAGAAAATCATTCTATAAATATCACATAGAAATATTGTCTCTTATATTATTCAGACAAAAAAAATTGTGTTCAATATATATTAACACAAATTATACTTATTTTAGTTCTGTAATTTAACAAAACTGAAGTGATGCATTTTTTGCCAATCAGAATCAGTATTTATTATATGTAAATTCATTAAATTTTTGCGAAATATGTATCACAAACAGGGCTTGCAAAAAAAGATTAACATGATATCTAGAAACAACTTGAAAAACATATTTTCATATTATTTTTAGATAGTTTTATACAAATTTGAATTTATACTTTTTAATAATTTTTTTTGACTTTACAATTAAGATTTTTTTTATTCATGTTGAATGTGATTGGACCACTAAAGCTCAAAACACATTTTAATTCATATTTATATTCATGAACTATATAATTCTATCTTTTTTATTTAGATAATTTTTCTATTTTTAAGAATAAAGAGATAATGCTTAGTTGACTTTGAACAAGTATAATAATTTATATTGTTTTAATATTAACCTAGATAAATTCTTATTATTAAATTTTTGACTAACTACATTGTAATAATTGTCTTTATCACAATAATTTTTGAAAAATTTCACAAATTTAAAAACTTCTATGAAATCGATTTTATGCCAACAAGGATTATATAACCCTTTACTATCAAAATTACTTCATTTACAAAATCTACAATATTCTGAAATGGGTTCATAATTATATTCTTTATACTTATCTTCTAATATTTGTCAGAATTTTGCTTCAGTACTCTTGAATTCTCTAAAATTTCTTTAATCAGTTTTATTTTTCTATTATCAGGAATTTTTTCGTCTTCATCAATTAATATTTTAAGATTATTTTCAAAATTATCCATGTCAATATCTGTAAATTCTTTATCTTTTTTTTTAAATTCTATTTGATTATATAATGTAGACAACACTTCAAAATTGTTTATCTTAGGTTGTTTGCTAATTTTTTCCATTTGATTTTTTGTTTTCTTATTGATAAAAAAATAGATGAGATAAAAAATAAAAAAATAATATTTATATTTTTTAAAATATTAAGCCATACAAATTTAATTACTTGGTTTTCATAACATGAAATTTTAAAAAAGACCCAGCTGGCCAGCTTTTTTTTTAAATTTCATATATAAAATTTTATAAAATTTATATAAAAAAATTTTTAAAACATACCCGGTTACTAAAACATATAAAAAAATTTTTTTGGAAGTTTTCAAATTTTGACCTGGCTAGGTTATAAAAACCAATTAATTAATTTTGCATGGCCTTATATAGAATTTGTTTAAATTTTTTCTAATGATAATGTTAATTGCAATAATATTAAAAAAATAATGTATTTATATTTTTTTAAACATTATAAAAGTGAATTTCTCATGGAATTCTTGTATCTATTTTAGGAATAGAATATTCAGTTTTCTACTCAGAAATGTTCAAGAATATTTTGTCAAAATTGTTCTTGTTTTATCAGCAAGAATTCATAGTAGAACAAAAATGAATAAGGCAGTTAATAATATAATACAAAGAATATACTACAAGGAAGGAATAAAGAATTTTTAGTAAAAAATATATCAACTCAGAAATGGCAAGAATATACATTAAATAGTACAAAAAAAATTAATCTACCATTCAGACAAAAAACCTTTTGCAGTAAGGTTTAAAGAATTTTGAAGACACATTCTTTGTTTTAAGAATTTACTTACGAAGATAAAATAATTAATTAGTAATGAAGACCTTAGCAACAAGAAAAACATTCTATAAATATCTCATAGAGACACTGTCTCTTAAACATCTTTTTTTATTTCATATATAAGTTAGTATAATTTGTGTTAATAATATATTGAACACAATTTATTTTGTCTAAATAACTTAAGTATAAAGTTATAAAAATTTTTGCGAAATATTTGTCACAAACAGGGCTTGCAAAAAAAGATTAACATGATAATAAAAATATTATTAAGCAGGCTATTCAGACAAAAGACCTTTTGAAGTAAAGTGTAAAGAATTTTAATATTAATCGATTTAATTTAGATTTGATATCCCATATTATTTTTAGATATTTACGTGTATAGAATTCTAATTTGAATTTATCAGCAAGAATTTATAGAAATAATTTTGTAAGAACAAAAATGGATAAAAAAATAAAAGAATTCTTAGTAAAAATATATCAACTCAGAAATGGCAAGAATATACAGTTATATGGTGCTAGAAGCCTATACTCAATGGTTACACAAAGTGTTTCAATTTTTTAAATGGCTATAACTTTTCTTCTAAGAGGTTTTAAAAAAATCTGACCGGTAACTTTATAGAGATATATTAACTCTACATATGTGCCAAAAATCTTTTCAAAATCTCATCACTGTAAAGAGTTGATGCATTTTAAAAATTGAAATTTTATATGTAAATTTATAAATTTACATATAGAATTTTAATTTTTAAAATACATCAACTCTTTACAGTTATGAGATTTTGAAAAGATTTTTAGCACATATGTAGAGTTAATATATCTCTATAAAGTTACTGGTCAGATTCTTTTAAAACCTCTTAGAAGAAAAGTTATAGCTATTTAAAAAATTGAAACACTTTGTATAACCATTGAGTATAGGCTTCTAGCACCATAGTACAAAAAAAATTAACTCACCATTCGGACAAAAGACCTTTTTGCAGTAAGGTGCAAAGAATTTTGAAGATATATTTTTATTTCAAGAATTTACTTATGAAGATAAAATAATTAATTAGTAATGAAGACCTTAGCAACTAGAAAATCTTCTATAAATATCTCATTGAAATACTGCTATAATTAAGAAATCCTGCGTATATCTTATTCTACATAACTATATTGTTATTACTTAAATTTATATTGACTGGGTTCTATACAGGAATTCTATCTAAAATTATCATTTAGTATTAATTTAGGTGATTTTATGTATAAAAAAGGAGAGATAATAAACCATTAGGTCAAATACTAAGTTATACAGATTTGTAATGACACGTAAAAATTTTCATTCTATACTATTTTTATTTTATAAACTTTATTAATAACATGTAATGAAATCTATATTGGATTTCTATAATGTTTTTAACTACTTGGAAATTATCATTTAGTATTAATTTTTTGTATAAAAAAGAAGAGATTTAATAAACTATTTAGTTAAGAGACTACAGATTTTGTAATGACACGTAAAAATTTTCAATCTACACTATTTTTATCTTATAAACTTTATTAATAAAAAGAGATCCATATTGGAATTTTACTATATAAATCAAATTTTCTTTATTTCTATGTTGTTTTTTATGATTATCCATTCAGATAAAAAAGTAACAAACCCATATTTCTATAAGTATTTGTTTGAAAATATATTACTAATACAAATAGTATAGTCTGGAGTCTTAACAGAATAGGAACTCTATGAAAATCACATAGCATCAATAATTATTCTATAAAACAAAAAGAAACTTGGCTGTGTTAAAAAAAAAGTATAAATACTAGAATAAAATTTAGAATCATCATTAATTAAAATTGATAAAATGCAAACTTATAAAGGTGAAATAACTATATCATTCAATAGCATTATTGAAAAATATTATATTAAATCTCTTGATACAAAATATACTAATAGAAGGAAATTTGAAATAAAACTTTTCAATTTTCTTAAACATAAAGGATATAATATGATGCTTTCTAATAGCCATCTAATGAATTCAAATTTTAGATTTTTTAATCTAAATAATAAATAGATATTACAAATTGGAAATTATAGAATCACAGGAGATGGAGATTGTGATCTTATTGGTGATAAAAATGAAATACAATTTATTGTACAAGCTAAATCTAGTGAAACAGGTAGATATCCAAGACTTGAAAAAGAATATAAAAAATTTATATATAATATAGAAAATTGAAGACATGCTAAAGAAATAGGAATTTTCATTGTAATAGATGAAATTAATATAAATATATTAAAAGATATCACTCAACTGAATGCAAAATAATTATTTGCAACTTCAATGAACTAGATAGATATATCAAACAAATAGAACAGGAACATATAAGAGAAATGTTAAAATTATATAATGTTATTTCTAATGCAGAAATTGTATTTAAAAAGTCAGAGAGCTTAAATAGGTAATCTCCTAGTTAGATTGCAGGCATGGCAGCTAGTGTAGAACTCAGGCAGACTACTTAAAATAGACAACCAAAAGTTGTATGTGTGACTAGTTGTACCCTCATCATAATTGTAAATGTTGTTTATTATCTAATAAAAAGCCCCTGGCCATAGAGATCACCTTAACACCGAAAAAAAAAAGAAATTGTATTGATAACTCAAATTTAAAAGAAGAACTTAAATATATACTTAAAACATTAAAAGAACAATTATAAACAATAAGCGATATAAAAAACAGTATGTGTCATAACTCAAAAAAATATAATAATATTAAAGATCTGGATAGGGCATTAACAAATTTAAATCTCTCACAGTAATATATTTGACAAAAAAAAAGTTATAGATACTAGCATTTTATAAGAACTTTATTATTAATAGCATGTATATATTATAAATTCTTATTATAAATAAATATATTTTGAAGTATAATTATTATTTTCAGATATTTAAACAATAATTTTTTTATATTGAATTGTAAAATACTATATAATGTTTTAGCTTTTGAATGACAATGTGCTATTTACTAGAGTTACTAATTAATTACTAATTAATTCTATTAAGATAATGCTTACCAGAGTTATACATTAATTCTACCAAAATTATACTTACCAGAGTTATGAATTAATTCTACCAAAATTATATTTACCAGAGTTACTAATTAATTCTATCAAGATAATGCTTACCAGAGTTATATATTAATTATACCAAAATTATGCTTACCAGAGCTACGAATTACTTCTACCAAAATTATATTTAACCAGAGTTATGAATTAATTTCTAATTAATTCTATCAAGATAATATTACCTGAGTTATATATTAATTATACCAAAATTATGCTTACCAGAGCTACAAATTACTTCTACCAAAATTATGTTTTACCAGTTACGAATTACTTTTATCAAAATTATGTTTACCAGAGTTACAAATTAATACTACCAAAATTATATTTACCAGAGTTACTAATTAATTATCAAGATAATGCTTACCAAATTATGTTCACCAGAGTTATTGATTAATTTTATCAAAATTATGCTTACCAGAGTAACAAATTAATTTAACCAAAATTAAATTACAAACTTATATTACCAGTAGTGTTTCACAAAATAGAACTGAATACCCGGAATCGAACCAGAACCGGGCTATGGTTCAGTTTCAGATCTATATTTTTCAGATCTGATTATTTTCAGTTCTCAGTAGGTGGGTACCTAATGGACCCACATAAACTTACTTACGTTAATCACCTGATATTTGGCAATATAATGCTAGATATCAGGTGATTAAGATCTCAAGTTAAAAATGTGCGATGCAAAATCTTAAATAAAAAGAAATTCTGAAAAGACAGTGAACTGGAAATTGTCAAGTCTTTATATTTAATTACAACTCTGAAAAAGCCTGAAAAAACCTTGAGACCCAAAATTGTACTGTGTAAGTTAGTTCATGAATTAACTGTTGGCTTTGATTATAGTATTAGTGATATAGACAAGGTCTTACTAATAAAACTTGCAATTTTCAAAAGAGCCTTAATGAAACGCCTAGACAATTGGTGTTTTAAATAATCTTTTACACTGTAATTAGCCTTGTGTACTTTAAATAGAACAGATGAGTGTAGACAAAGTCTAATTAACAAATATTCGCATAAAAAAAAAAAAAGAAAAAAGAAAAAGAAAAAAGAAAAGAATAAATAAAAAAGAAAAAAAAAGAAAAAGATAAAATAAAAAATAAAAAAAGCCCCAGAGAAAATAATCTATAATTGGTATTTTGTGTGGGTTTTACTTCGTATAATACTATGGATAATGGT